GGGGAATGGATTAGATGATCTTCAGAGGTCCCTTGCAACCCAAACCATTCTGTGGTTTAACAGGACATTTAAACTTGTATAGTTTAGCAAAATTATAGGCAACTAGAAATAGTATGCTGTAGTGAGAATTGTCCACTGCCTCTCAAAATGGCAGTGCTACTTGCCCAGTTGGTGGTATCAGTGAGTCATTTGAGTTAGTTTTCAAGCTCTTCCTGTTTGATTCCATCTCAGAGGAGCAAATGAAAAGGGCAGCTTTCTGTTTTTACCCCTGCCTGACCCTTTTTTTTTTTTTCCCCCCACCCTCTTCTACTGGGGAGTAGTGTATTTCTTACCACCTCACAATTAGAAGGGTTTTATGACGCTTCCTTGTACTCAAATATTTGATAAGCACGACCGGACACCATATTTCCATCAGACAGAAGAGAGAACACACGTATGAACTGCGCATGCTGTGTGTTTCATATACCAAGTAAAGTTGGCTTATAAACACTCATGCTGTCTTACTATCTTTTACATCAGAATTTTTTGTGTTAAAACCACAGAACAACAGGTTAACATAGGAGACCTGTGATCATAAATGTACTCTGAAGAGATGTGAGCGGTTTTTGGGAGAAGACTCGGGAGGAAAAAATCTATCATAAAACATATAGATAGCATTAATTAAAACTGTTTAGGTTTAGCATTACCTAAAACTGTTATGCCTCACTGTGAGGCATAAGTGAAATATTGTAATTTTAAAATGATTAGAAATTTGTGAAAGGCTTAACAATTTTTTTTCTACATTCTGGATTAATTCAGATGAATTCTTCAGCTAAGAAACTTGCTGGTATTGAGGGAAGACTTCTGTTTGATACATAAATAGACTGAATTTTTGTCTACTTCTTTAGTTATGCAATAGAAGAAAATGCTGTAAAGTTAAGATTTCAAATAGACCTATAATTCAGAAAAGTGTTAATTTTGGCGATTAAATTTTATGGTGGAACATTTGTCTTATTAAACTGCAGTTTAATAAATGCCAACTAATACTAATTTTATGCAACTGCACTTTATATTGCATTGATGGTCTAATTTTTTTATAACAAAATAGTTCCCTAATCACATTCTGCTATTTTCTTTTAGCTTGTGAAGCGCTTACAGAATGGGAATACCTACCACCTGTTGGGCCTCGACCACCAAAGGGATTTGTAGGACTAAAAAATGCTGGTGCCACTTGTTACATGAATTCTGTCATTCAGCAGCTGTACATGATTCCAGCCATCAGGAATGGGATTCTTGCAATTGAAGGCACAGGCAGTGATGTAGATGATGACATGTCTGGGGATGAAAAGCAGGACAACGAGGTAAATTTAACTATGTAGAACTTGCTTATCTTTAGAATTCTTTTTTGTGAAAAGGTTATAACAAATTTAAGTTGCTGATAACTTTGCTTTCCTCTGCTAGCAGTGGGGACAATAGCATAGTACTTCTTACTTGAATAGGCTTGCTGCCAGAGAGGCAGTGCAAAAGGTGCAAGTAGCAGGGTTTGCAAGCTTACTCCCCATGGATTTGTACTTGAAAGCACTGTACACCACTTCTGCCACCAGAACTCCGTTAATGCATACAAAGACATTATTTGTTTCCTCAAGATGAGTGTGTGAAACACCTTAGATTATTAAATTAAACATGGGATACAGCTAGCTATGAGACAGCTACATATCAAAAGTTAATTGCACAAATTTTCTTTTGCTTTTCAGAGCAATGTTGACCCACGAGATGATGTGTTTGGTTATCCACATCAATATGAGGACAAACCAGCACTGAGTAAAACAGAAGATAGAAAAGAGTACAATATTGGAGTTCTGAGGCATCTCCAAGTAATTTTTGGTCATTTAGCAGCTTCCAGGCTACAGTACTATGTACCAAGAGGGTTTTGGAAACAATTCAGGTAAATAGAAAATTTAGTATCGCTCTCTGTTCACTGTTAAGTGTGAATTAGCAGAACTTGTGCAGCATTGTATCTTTATCCTACCTTTTCACCATTCTGTAGAAATGAGAAATTTTCACCAAAGCTTGCAGCAAGATGGTTATCATGAATTCTAGCAGTTCTTGACCTTGATATTGAGACTTTGAATTAAGTATGAAGTTAATACACAAAACTTGTTTTTACTTACCAGTAAGTAAGTGTCAGAGACAGAGTAACAGGGGGTATACTATACCACAAACCAGTAAATAGTTTTGCTCAGTAAGAAAGAGGGATTAAGAGCTTGAATAAATTTTTTTTTTTTTTAAGAAAATAAATTGTTGGAGAAGAAAAAACAAAAAATATTTGACAAGAATGCGCTTTTGTTTTCAGACTTTGGGGTGAACCTGTAAATCTGCGTGAACAACATGATGCTTTAGAATTTTTTAATTCCTTGGTGGACAGTTTAGATGAAGCTTTAAAAGCTTTGGGCCATCCAGCAATGTTAAGTAAAGTTTTAGGAGGGTCCTTTGCTGATCAGAAGATTTGTCAAGGATGCCCACATCGGTAAGTGTTTAAGATTCTTCTTTCTTACAGAAAAACAAACTGTGTTTGTATACTTGTAACAGTGATGAAACAGTCAAAAGTGTTTTTTTGTGTTTTTGGTAGTGGTGGTGTTTTTTAAAGCTAACACCATTTGCTACCTTGTTTTATTCTACAGCCTTAACATCAATTAGTCTTCAAGGGCCTTGAAATACTTGATTATTATTGCTTCTACTTAGCAGATTGTATGTGAAGCATAGTGTGTTGATCGGGGGAGGAAAAGATACAGCTTTTTCATATTAAAAGTGAAAACAACTCAGGGACCAAATGCAATGTATAAACTTTAAGGCATGGCCAACAGCTGTTGCTGTCTTCTATCTTCCAGAGTGTGTGGATAGAGCTGACCCAAGTATGAATCTTTAATTCCAATGAGTAAAACTCTGTTCATGTTCCCTATGTAAGCTGTAATTAAGGAGAGAAATGTGGAAAGTTTATTGTTTTCTAAGGTTTCTGCTGTATTTTTAATTACTTTAAAATGTGAATATTGAAATTCAGCTTCATGTAGGGTATGTAAAAAAACACCCATACAAAATCAGACTGAAAGTGTGTAGCCCACTATCTTGACGATGGTGATCAATGACAAATGCTTAGTGAAGGAATAGAACTAGGCATTATACAGTTGTACTTGTGTAGACTTTTTCTTTCATAATTGCTTTTGAGGTGGATGATTAAAATTGCATGCAAGATTCAAGATGGCCTAATGATGGACTTGTTCTTTTTCAACAGCTGGCTTTTTTTATTATTGTGTTGAATTTTGTATCACTAATAGTTGGCCTTCTTACTGTTCATTACCTCTTTCAGATTATTTGTGATTCATAAATGATATAGATCTCTCTGTACGTTACCATTGCAAATTCTCTTTATTGTGAAAGTTGACCATTTACTGTTATCCTTCAATTAGCAATTAAAATACAGGAAGAAACATTGATACAAACTGATTTTATTGTGGTAATCTTTCAACTTCAGTTGAGCTCATGGGTGAATTAGAAGAACTTATAAATGGAACATCTTAAGTTTCATGGGTTAAAATGTGTGACCAGAAGTAAGTTGAAATATTGCAAGATAAATGAAAGCACTGATTTTATTTTATATGCAATGGGTAATTAAATGGAAGATACAGATGTGAAGCAACGTGAGTTACCATTCATTCCTGATATTATGTACTGTTCTGAAGTATTACCTGTCTTTTTGGAACTCTACTGGATTTGCATAATTGTATTTCTTAATAAAAATGTTACCCTGATTGTAGATTAGGGAGGAGAAAACTGATGATAAACTAAATTATTGGATTGGAATATGACAGATTAACAGCCTTTCTAAATTTGTAAGTTATTCAATAGATGAATGAATATTACTGTTTTGGTTGAAGTGTTTCTAAATACTAATTTATTCACTGTTCTAAAACCCTTTGTTTGCTTGATTGCATATCAAAGAAACAAGCCCTGCAGGGTTATGTTTGAATAGATGCAACTTTTTAAATTTATTCATAAAGTCTTCATCTTTTTTAAAAAAAGAATTTTTTTCCAAGGTGTCTTAACTGGTTGTCTCTCAAGCATTTCTGGTTTATTGCTAGGAATTTGTTTGAAGGTTATATCGGAACACAGTAAGTCAAAGCCAGTTGTAACTATACATAGGGATTTTTATGCTGTCAGCTTTTCAATTTTTTTTCAGATAGAACAGTAAAAAGGCTTTTTCGTTGTTGTTTGGTTTGGGATTTTTTTGTTTTGAACTGTTGTCTTTAGGTATGACACGGTCTTTGTGTTTATTAGTCTGCTTCCTGACAATAAAGGTCAGCAATGGAAAAAATACGCTACTTTGCTATCTGTCCTTCTCCACTAGCTTAAGTTAGCCAAGAGTATCGGGCTACTTTAGCTGCTTTAAAAACAAGATGTGCTGAAAGATTCAACTTCCACAGTCTTTTCAGTAAACTTGAGACGTACATGTAAGTTCTGTGATCTTCATAAAATAACTATAGTTAATGCAGATCAAACAATACAATGTGCAGATATTGTAATGTAATTGTAGGAAGACTGCAGTAAAAGACTCTTTACTGCTTAACTCCTTTTGCCAGAAGTTGACATCAAATGCTGAATAAAACTTTTGCAGTAAGGTATTCTGTAGCACCTGTAAAACAAAAGTTGAACATGTTTCCACCTTTCTGTTACATCTGTCTGTTCATTGGTAGGTACGAATGCGAGGAATCCTTCACAACTCTGAACGTAGATATAAGAAATCACCAAAACCTTCTTGATTCTTTGGAACAGTACGTCAAAGGAGATTTATTGGAAGGTGCAAATGCATATCATTGTGAAAAATGCAACAAAAAGGTAATGATTCCTTATACATTAAATTTGAGTACAACTGTGATGTTATAGCTGTACTAAGTTCAGTCTTAGTTCATGTTCAGGGAAAAAAAATTACCCTTTAGTTACTGAATTCAGTTGTTGATTAGAGTATATGAATGGAAACTTAAGAGCTGGTAACTGTTGATGTGCTTTTTTTAGGTTGATACAGTGAAACGCTTGTTGATTAAGAAGTTGCCTCCAGTTCTTGCAATCCAGTTGAAACGATTTGATTATGACTGGGAAAGGGAATGTGCAATCAAGTTCAATGACTATTTTGAATTTCCACGAGAGCTGGACATGGAGCCTTACACGGTGGCAGGTGTAGCTAAATTGGAAGGAGATGATGTAAATCCTGAGAATCAGATAATACAGAATGAGCAGTCTGAAAACGAACACTCTGGGAGCACAAAATACAGGCTTGTTGGTGTACTTGTACACAGTGGGCAGGCCAGTGGTGGACATTATTACTCTTATATTATCCAGAGGAATGGTGGAGATGGTGAGAAAAATCGGTGGTATAAATTTGATGATGGGGATGTGACAGAGTGTAAAATGGATGATGATGAAGAAATGAAAAATCAGTGTTTTGGTGGAGAATACATGGGAGAAGTATTTGATCACATGATGAAGCGTATGTCCTACAGACGCCAGAAGAGGTGGTGGAATGCTTATATTCTTTTTTATGAACGAATGGACACAATAGACAAAGACAATGAACTAATAAAATATATTTCAGAACTCGCTATCACCACTAAACCCCATCAGATTAAAATGCCATCAGCCATTGAACGAAGTGTACGGAAGCAGAACGTGCAGTTCATGCATAATCGTATGCAGTACAGCCTAGAATATTTCCAGTTCATAAAGAAGTTGCTTACTTGTAATAGTGTCTACTTAAATCCTCCTCCAGGTTAGTATGTTAGTGCAATAATTATGCATGAATTTCTTGCAATAAGAGTTTTGATTTGTATTGTCAAGAATTTGTCTAGCCAGTGAAAATTTAGTGGATTCTGCTTTGAATATTCTGTCTTTCTGCACTTCGGCAGTTAAGCATCTGTTGTTGAATTGTTCATCAGTGATAACATGCCAGAATATTTAGCAAGAATTACGTTGATAAACTATCAGCTGTTACTCAGCTTATGTACTAAGTCATGTTAAAATACTTAAGTTTGTGGGCTGTTCTGCTGAAGACAGTTCTCAAAGGTGAAATGCTGAATTTCTAAAAATCAGACATACGTTAGCCTCCAGGCACCTGTCTTTAAAGCTTACATTTTCAAATGATACGTTATAGAAGGCTGTCTTGATCAAGTTTCTTGTTAAAATTGGAACACAGTGTCAGACAAAATAGTAATTTGGAATCAGTTAAATTATTAAAAGTAAATTGCTTTTACTTTGTCTATATGTGAGTATTTTGATTTTTCTTTAGGACAAGATCATCTGTTGCCTGAAGCAGAAGAAATAACTATGATTAGTATTCAACTTGCTGCTAGATTTCTCTTCACCACAGGATTTCATACAAAGAAAATAGTTCGTGGCCCTGCTAGCGATTGGTATCTTGTCTTTTAACAACAGTTACAGTTTTGGAAGTTTGATGTTGGTTAGAAGATCCCAGTTATAGACATATGACAATAAAAGGTGTTAGTGGCCTGTCCCATTTTCCTCTGTCCTCCAAACACATGATGAAGGTGCACATGAAAAGGGTGAAAAACTTGGAACAGAAAATACCAGCAAGAAACTGGGCCTTAAAATAAGCTGCTGAGCTGAACAGCTTCAAAATTCATTTTGAAACAGAGCTTAAATCTAGCTTTTGTCTCTCTTTTAAAATGAAGAAAGGAGTAGAATCTATCACTAGTGCAAAACTAATAGGTTATATGTTCTGACCAATTCAGAATGGTTTGTTCATGGTTTGCATAGTTTTAAACAAAGCTCTTTTCAACCCATTTTTGCAGCTGATATTTGTATTCTGATTCTGAAACATGTATATAGTCTTTTAGACTCTGTTAGCAGAGTCCTTTATGTACATTGGTACAGGGCCTGTAATTCAAATCTGTAGCATAACAAACAGTACAGTCTTATTCATAGTACCACAGCATTTTAATCTTTAAGCTAGGTTATTCTCTGTTGGGGAGAGGAGTGTGGGTTACAGCTGGTAGAACTAGAGAGAAAATGTAGCATTCATGATGACCAGTAGTTCACCAGCTACTAGTAAGGAGTTGTGTAATACATGGCAAATATGTACCTTAAGTTTTTCTCCAATAGCAATTTTCAGAGTAGCTAAGTTACTCCTGTTATTTCAAGAGAACAAGAGGAATTCGAGGATTGCTGCAGGAGTGAAGGCAATGTCACAAAAGACCCTCTCTGGAACAGTTATTTTACTCTTTGGGTTTTTGTTTTTGCGGGTTTTTTTAGATCTGTAAATGAGAATATAAATTCCTGATAGGTTACATATGTAGTTACTGGTCTTACACACAGATCATGAAATGCACTTCACAATGTTATCTGCTGCTCACCTTCTCCCCCAGCTCTAACACAGAGGGAACAATGGCTGCCAATTTAGGACCTGCTTTGAGCAGTAGTTTGGGAGTTATGGGATGTAATCCTGTCTTGGTTCTCATGGGTGGTAGAAGTCAAATACTACTGTTAAATGTTCTTTTTTTAATTGAAGTATCTTTTTAATTTGTTATTGCTAGTAACACAGAGTATTACTGTAGGAACTAAATTTATCTGATTGTAAGCATTTTGTGGGCAAAAATGTTTGGGGATCACCTTTAACATGTATTTTCTTCAAATTCTGCCAGAATTCACTAATTTCTACATTTGGTCATAATCTCTCAGTTGTGTCATCTTCTGTTTCAGGTATGATGCATTATGCATCCTTCTTCGTCACAGCAAGAATGTACGCTTTTGGTTTGCACACAATGTCCTTTTTAATGTTTCAAACCGCTTCTCTGAGTATCTTTTGGAATGCCCTAGTGCAGAAGTGAGGGGTGCATTTGCAAAACTTATAGTATTTATTGCACATTTTTCATTGCAAGATGGACCATGTCCTTCACCTTTTGCCTCTCCTGGACCTTCCAGTCAGGTATTCAATTTTCTAACAAAAAACTGTTAAAACTTACTCTTACTTCTTTGTTATAAGCATTTGATGTAAAGTAAATTCTGGAGTAGATGCATCAATGTTGACAGGAAAGCTGTAGAGTCAGTTTTGCACCATGTAACATCATGTAACTCAACCAGTTTGTGTGGGAGTTGCTGTCAGAGGGGTTCAGTTTCCCCTCATTTGTAAATCTCTGTGAAGAGTAAGTAGTGAGAAATTCGAGTTGTGAGTGTGAAATCTGCAAAACAAAAGTAGTGGCTTATAATGAAGTAATGTGTAGGGGAGTGAACTCTTGTTTTGTTCATTTAGAATTTAAAAAACAAACAAAACCCATGAAAACATGCAGGAGTTACCTAAGTTTTCTTCCCCTGTATCCTGCAACATTGAAATTGTCAAAAATTGTAACTTTACATAGTAGTAGACAGTGAATTGCCTAATTTTATACACCTAGAACTGACGAACAAGCAAACAAAAAAGCCAAAATCTTAATATAATCCTCGTCATAATCATGTTTTTGTTTGGACTGTATTAAAATTTAAAATATTAACCTTTTTGAGCCTTTGCTTTGTCATGTTTGTAATGTCACAGTAAGACACTTTTTATTTATATTGTTCCACTTACCTTCTCAGAATATTTAAACCACTGTGTCCAGCAAAAGAATTTGTATTAAGTTAAAGCAACATATGCTTTGACAGTGTGTTGTTTCATTTAATATACACCTGTAGAGGTGACTTGGTTGTCTGTCTTAGACTGTGAAGTTCACAGTGGAATTGCATGTGCTTTTTGGAGTATTTAAGCCTAGCTGCTATTGGAGAGAAGGCTCAATTAAAAGCTTCTATACTTGCATAGTTTCTTGGACTGTCTGAGGTACAAAAGACTAACCAGCTGCTATTATTTTGGATTTTTTATGAATCTCATACCTTCTAACCAATTCTTTTGTCTTCCATAGTAGAAAGTATACAATAAAGATTTGATAGGTTCAACCACTAATACTAAAACTTTTTTTTAACAGGCTTATGATAACTTAAGTTTAAGTGATCACTTACTGAGAGCGGTACTAAATCTTCTAAGAAGGGAAGTATCTGAACATGGGCGCCATTTGCAGCAGTATTTCAATCTGTTTGTGATGTATGCCAATCTAGGTAAGCAAATTACACACACTTTTACTGATGACACTGTAATAAACTGTTTTTTATTAATGATCCAGTTACACAGGTAACAGCAGGAGAATCCAGTTTTTCAGTCTCAGGCAGATAGTTGTCATTACATGCCATATAAATGCTCTCTAGAGCATCTGTGTTCCTGCAGTTTGGACTTTGGGGATTTAGTCTTCCTGCCATCCTTGGAAGATCAACAGGAGAAGCTTGGAGCAGTAAAAGTGTGTCCTCCTGAGTGGTTGTGGGGGTGGAAAAAACGGCAAGAGAGATGATGCTTTTTTCAGGACTCCTTTGCAGGGGAGGTCATAAGACCAAAGAAGCATGTGGGGCTGACAACTGGTTTGAGCCTGAAGAAGTTGAGGAAGATAAAAGTTCATAAAAGAGAGATGCATGATTCTCCTTTATGGAAACGTCAATGCAAATGGTCATGCTTTGTCTATATGTTCCAACTGTGCCCTTTCAATATTAATTTCTTTAGTTCACCTTTGAAGTTCACAGCTGACAAATACAAAACACTGACTCTGTATCTGGCTTCCCTTTAAAGACTCTTTGGGAGGCTGAGGAAATAGCTCAGTCTGTATATGTTTTTAGATGTCTTTACTTGCCAGAATGCTTTTGCCATAGACATCATATGAGGTAAAAGAAAGCAAGAATTGGGAAATTCCTGTATAAATTTATTAGGTATTGTAGTTCCTCCAAGATAAATAGGCAAGAAAAGCCAGTGGTTTTGCAATATAGGAAGGCTTAAGTAAAGCTCTCCCAAGCTTGAGACAGTGATTCTTTTAATGAAGACTAGAGTCTTAAATTTTCTGATAAAAGATTAAATTAGAGATTGAGTATGGTCACAAATGAATATTTATTTTTAGTATCTTCGAATGCAGGACTAGTAGGACTACCTGTATTTGCAGGTGCTACACTTAAGACCCATTATACACCTGCTATAATATAACTGAGATGTTTATCAGTTTTGTGGTGATGGTCATCAAATATTCGCTGTGGCAATTCCTGCATCACCCATTTTTCTTCAGGATCTTAGTTGTATCCAGTGTTATGAAAATAGAAGTATTACAAAAACTTGTATTAAATTCTGGATTATGTAAGTTCTCTGCATAAAAAGTCACTAGCCTGTATACTAAGAATAAAAGAATACTAATAATATCTAAAGTAACTATTCCAAACCAAAAAAATCATTTTTGCAGTTAAACTGAGATCAGTCTTACTCACATTCATATGTAATCATCCTTTCTCTTAGCATTATCAGCACGCTGAAAATCAATTGCTTAATTGAATAAACTGTTTCTCAGGTGGGTTAATCCTTTGCTGCTTTATATATTTGCCCTGAAGAAGAGCAATTAAGAAGAATAAAATGCAAGTCAAGTGAATAAAGGATTGCTTTTGCACTCTCAGGTTCATGAGGGTACTCACAGGTTCATATCTAGTGAATTGTCGCAAAGCTCTACTTTCTTTACTCAGTTATTAGGGTCTTCCGTCGGGGTCCCATTTCTCTTTCACATGTGGTAGCCTAAGTGAAAAAGCATCTTTCTCTACAGCAAATTCTAAAGAAGATACAATGTTCTTCCATAGTGGTAGTCTATTACATTCTCCCTCTTACCCTAGTGCAAGATATTTTCATCCTTTTCTGTAAAGTACTATGAAGCTAGGAGATCCAGTTCCCTTGGAAATTTTACAAATTGCCAATAATACTGAGCAGCTCAGCCATTGCTGGTTATTGGCTTATGCAGGCAAGTTATAAATGTGAGTTCCTGTTAGACTACTTTGTAGCTGAAGTGTTAAGCAAGTGTATCAGTCCAAATGGAGTTATTTCAGTATTTCCTCATAGAATTGGCGCACACAAGAGTTCTGGAAGCTCTTTGAAGTTGTCTACTCACATGAAAGGAACTTAATTGCCTATCTGTAAAATTAATCTAGGCAATTGTGTTAATTTAACTTTACCTAGAACGTATGTTGCTTTTATATACTTTGTCTACCAAAGCATTCTCTGTCAGGCAGGGTTCCATCATGACCCCCAGAGTGGACTTAATGTCATTACAGAGAAGAGAGATGCAATTCTTCTGCTCTAACTTATCTTTTCTTCTTTACTAGCTTTTCATAGTCAGTCAGTACAGTTGAAGCCTCTGACTAGGAAAGCACTCGGAAGCTGGATGAGAAAGCGCAACTAAATTTAATTTCTGGGTCTGATCATTATCACTGTCTACCTCACAAATATAAACATGGAAATACTAAGCAGTTGTGCTTGTCTCACTACTGTTAACTGAAGGCTTCTGTATGGATGTAGAGTGTTCATTCAGCAAAAGTCACAATGCACCATTCCTGCAGTGCCCCAAGTTCTGTGAAAAAGATTAAATTGTCTGACATTTTGAGAAAACAAATAATATATTGTTCATATCAAAGCAAGTGAGAAATAGTTCTACAAAGGATAGAACTACAAAACTATCTAACGTAATCAAAAAGATACTGTAGAAGAGCTCTAATAAGAAGGAAGAATCCAGATAGCACCTTATCAGAAAGATGGTAGGTAAGGCATAGTTGTATTTCATAATTAAGAAAAAACTTGGAAGCATATGAAAAATTATGACTTGTAACCAGATTGAGAAAAAGAATACAAGATCAGAAGGGACATATCAAATTTACAGGTAAGTGCTTGGGTAGTATGTTGTCGTGGTTTAACCCCAGCCAACAACTAAGCCCCACGCAGCCACTCGCTCACTCCCCACAGTGGGATGGGGGAGTGAATCAGAAGAGTAAAAGTGAGAAAACCCATGGGTTGAGATAAAGACAGTTTAATAGGGAATGCAAAAGGGGGAATAGGGAACGCACACAAGCAAAGCAGAACAAGGAATTCATTCCCCACTCCCCATGGGCAGACGGGTGTTCAGCCATCTCCAGGGAAGCAGGGCTCCATCACACGTAATGCTTACTTGGGAAGACAAATGCCATCGCTCCAAATGTCCCCCCCTTCCTCCTTCTTCCCCCAGCTTAATATGCCAAGCATGGTGTCATATGGTATGGGGTACCCCGTTGGTCAGCTGTCCCGGCTGTGTCCCCTCCCAGCTTCTTGTGCACCCCCAGCCCACTCACTGGTGGGGTGGTGTGAGAAGCAGAAAAGGCCTTGACCCTGTGCAAGCCCTGCTCAGCAGTAACTAAAACATCCCTGTATTATCAACACTGTTTTCAGCACAAATCCAAAACAGAGCCCCATACTAGCTGCTATGAAGACAATTGAACTCTATCCCAGACAAAATCGGTACATATGTGCAGGTATTCTTACAGTGAAATCATCTGTATGTTTGGAGTTTTTGGTTGGTTTTGGAGGTTTTCTCATTTTGTTTTTTGTTTTTTCTTAGATTGATTTTGTCACTCTAATTTACACTCACTGCATAGTATACTGTTGGAAATGTCTTACATTTGTAATTGATGTATCCAGGACATGATGGAAAAATAACGAAATATATTGTGGAGGGTGTTTGTGCTATCCTGGGCCTCACAATAAAAAGATCAGTTCTTTGTCCAAAAGACTTGTATGAGGCTTTGCTGTTAACACAGATGTTAGTTACCTAAGTGCTAATGAGCACTCTTACGAAATTGTAGTAATGTGCAACTCTTCTTCAATGTGGTTTTTCAACTGAACATAATTTTCTTGAACATCTTTACTGATTGGATTATTTTTTTCCCCATAAAGCATAAATGATAGTTATAATGAAACCCAGCAACTGAGAAGCTATGAATCATGTAAACAATAGTTACTTTTCTTAAAAAAAAAAAAAAAAAAGTCTTGTCAATGCCAGGAACAAGATGTATCTTTTCTTCTCCCACCGCCCCCCCACCAAAGGTGTAGCAGAGAAGACACAACTCCTGAAACTAAATGTTCCTGCAACCTTCATGCTTGTGGCTCTGGATGAAGGTCCAGGTCCTCCAATTAAATACCAGTATGCTGAACTGGGGAAGCTATACACTGTTGTGTCACAACTGATCCGTTGCTGCAATGTGTCATCACGGATGCAGTCTTCTATCAATGGTACAGTGAATTTTAAGTTTTCCTTAACATTAATTGAATATATCAGTAAATGTCTTTTGTGCATATTATTATGGGTAAAATGGATTATCTGGAAAAATGTTTGCCTTTTATGTTTAAAGACAGAAATCCCTTTGTTGTAAGCAAAACTGATGTGCTGTCCCAACATACTAAAAAGCACGAGACAGAAATCTGTCCTGTAATTTATGGTTCTTCGCTTGTTCCTTAAAGATACAGGAAGGCAACTGAGAGTAAAGTAGTAGCTTGATTACAAAATAGCCATGATTTTAGAATAGTTTAAGCTTATTGTAAAGAGTTGCATAAAGGTCTCTTGATTCTGAGCGGGCAATAAAGTAATAGATTATTTTTGTGTTACCAGTACAAAAGTAATCTGTACAGGAAAAACAGTATAGCAGGCTCTGAAATAGCTAATATTGCTTATCAGTAAAGAGACCTTGCATTGTTGTGGATAGCTCTTGAAAATGATTTGGTGCTTGTTTGCAGTCAAGAAGGCAAATGGAAGCCAGCACTTTAATTTATAAAAGATAAAGAATCATCTCGAAATTGGTGAACCACAGTATAAATCATTAATATCTCCAGTAGTTGAGTAGAGTGCAGTTATTTTTGAGAAATGGTGACAGAATATTGGGCTATGTGGACCTCATAGCCTGTATACATACACGTTCTATTAAGCATATTTTATAAAACCTAATTACAGATCTGTAGAGAAGCTGTTTAATGGCAAACTCATTACAGCTTGATGTGTCAGGCTATAAAGTCAATAGGCTAGAATGTGCTATAGTAAGATTAATGAACTGAAAATTTTACTGTGCTATAATAAGCTTCAGAACCATTTGGCAATTTTGATTTGGTTTTGTTTCCAGTGCATTATTTGAGGTTTACACTGAAAAGATATTCTACCTATGAAAAATAATTGTATATTCATTGTATTCACAATGTTGTACTAAAACAATTACTTTGTATGAACATTGCTCTGACTACTAATTATGATTACTGTTTGCAGAGTAAAGTTATTTTTTGCTTCAGCATATTAAGCTAGAAAAGTTCTCTCTTGGACTTATGGGCATTTTCAAACAGTAAACACACTGCTACATGTAGAAACCTTAAGAGCAAATCAGTAGTCTTTCCTGACAGAAAATGAAGCTTACTAAATAAGATACATTATTTTAAGAGTATAGTACTTCTCTTTACACTCTAGAGATTCAGGTGCAACTGTTCTGATGTAGATATTCCTCTGAACCCTTTCCCATTGCCTAGTGAAGTAAATAGACCTTGTGTGCTAAAATACGATAGATTTGGGCTGTGTTACACAAGCAGTGAAGCAGATAAATTCAGGAGATAACTGAGTTTCCTCAGTGAAATCCTCTTATTTCTCTTCGTGCATATGAACATGTCTCCAGCTGCTCTGCTTTGATTGCCACTGCATAATTGTGTCTGAGAGGGAGAAGTAGCTTCCTCAGGCAGCAAGTGTCGAGCTTCACAATCTGAAAACTTCGTTATTTCATACCATAGTATTTTTCAAAGAAAATCAGCTGTTAGGAAGGGGTTGGTTTTTTTCCTCTGTATATTGTTTTTTGACGAGTTATACCAATTTATATTTTGTTGTGTCTACACTGGAAATACTTCTGTACCTTTTCATCTGTAATAACTGTTTGTTCTAGGTAATCCTCCACTTGCCAACCCTTATGGTGATCCTAATTTATCTCAACCTATAATGGCACTTCAGCAGAACGTAGCAGACATTTTGTTTGTGAGAACTAGTTATGTGAAGAAAATTATTGAAGATTGCAGCAACTCTGAAGAGACCATCAAGTTACTTCGTTTCTGCTGTTGGGAGAACCCTCAGTTCTCTTCCACTGTCCTCAGTGAACTTCTTTGGCAGGTAAAATAAAAAGCTAGGAGAAAGATGGGAATATAAATCTGTATGATGCAAGATTCTATATTTATATGTAGGAATGTTGCATTAAATACTGAACAAGTGCTTGATAAATAAACTTTTCTTAAGATGGCATCCTCTGTCAGCATTTACACTCTTAGGTCTATACATCATGTTGGAGTGCTATGAGAAGTCCTTTTATGAGTTTAGGAATGTTCTGTTAAGGATGGAAAATAAGTAAACTGAGGTGGTCTTTAGGTATTGCAAGAGTGTTTCCTTCAGCTTTTCTGTCATGATCCATAAAAGAGCTTTTTATGTTGTATGGAAAGTTAGAATCATTTCCTAAGATCTCCCTTGTGTTTATTTTGAGTATGTTCCTAAGGTTCTTTTTACAAGTCTGTAGAACATACTTGGCTTCAGACTCAGGAAAGAATCTTCGGGACTGTCTTGTCCCTTTGTAATCTCTGAAAGGTTAGTCACGCTTTTTCACTCCAATTAAAAATTTTACTTCTCTTAGTTCATCTTTATATTTGCCCATTTTTTTTCCATGTAAACATCACATTTTTCTATGTCCTTTTGTTTGACACACAAAAAAAAATCACTTTACTGATATTTTGCTAGCCATGTGTTTTACAGTTGAAAATAACCTTTGAATGTACTGTCTAAAAGTAGCAATATCAGTGAAAATTTGTTTTGTAATTTTGCTTTTCTAAAGGTATTTTTTAAGGTAGCTTCTCCAGTATCTCATGCTTGGGGCTTCAGATCAATTGTGTTAGAAACTCCTGAGGAAACGTTTTGTCCTTTGCAAAACCTACTATATTAAAAAAAAACAAAACCAAAACCAAAACCACACCAAAAAACAACCACCAAACCGAAACCAAAAAACAAAACCAAACCATGAACCCAAAAAACACAATCCCCCAGAAAACCCTGACACAATCATTAAAAAAATGCATTGTATCTTGAAATATCCTTTAAATTACAGTAAACTTAGCTTCAAATTAATTGTGTTCTTGTATTCCATCATGTAATCTGGGTGCTTCAAGGAATGCTTCCTTATGTTCTGTGCATTTTTACTTTTTAAGGTTGCATATTCCTATACATACGAGCTTCGACCTTATTTGGATCTGCTTCTGCAAATCCTATTAATTGAGGACTCTTGGCAAACTCACAGGTTAGTATTTACCTATCTTATAATTTAATACTATTATTTTTCGTATAGCTTGTTTTCCCAGTGGTTCTGTTGCTAATCTTTTCAAGAGGTTTATTTTAAATATATATTAAATCAAAATACAGGAATAAAGTGGTTTTTTCCACTTTTAGCTCAATTTTTGAGACAAATCTACAACTTTTCACCTTGACGTTCCTTACTATTGAGAAATTTGCTACTTAATCCTATACATCCAAGATTTTTCACATGCAAGAGAATGTGCTGTTTAGGATAAACTCTTGTATTTACTATGAGGTGCTTAAATTGATTCTTAGAAGCATCTCGTTCAAGGGTCCAATGATAGCCTGGTGTTACTAAGAAACACATCAGTCATAGTAGTGATACCAAGACATGGATAAAGTGTGAACTTGGGAGAAAATCATATTTCATATATAAATATTCTCACATTTCAGTAGAATTTTAACTTCAATATAGCAAATATTCATCCAGTTTCAAAACTAATTTTCATATGTCTACAGTGTAAGGTTTTTGAAAGTTGAGATTAAAAAAACTTAAAAAAAACCAAACCCTTACTGCAAACACTGACTATTTCAGAGGATAGTCAATTACAAAGTAAATGTAATCAGCGTGCTACCTGTCAATACTTCAGAATGTTACTGTTTCATAATAAGTGAATATGGGTAGTATTAGATTTACTAAATCATTTGCAACCATGTCTCATCTGACATTTAAAATACTTTGATGAAGAGCATGCTTGGTGCTTGCAGTAAGGGTATTGGAGTGAACTCATGTACTTAACCTGTAGAAGCAGACTGCGTTCTTAGGATTTTATCGGTTGCTTAGCATTACTTTAGAAGACACTCTAAGAGAAGATGGTGGTCTGGCTTACCACACTCCAAAACACAAAGACCTAGTTGGAGAGATTTATTCATTTTCTTTATAGGTATTACATCTTAGGTAAGGGTGAGAATACCCTCTATATATATGCTTCTCAGTTTTGCGTACACGTATACATAATGCATATATAATGCAATTTGCTTATATTTTCTTCCTGAAAAACAAATACGTCCGTAAGATGTCTTTTAAGTCCACAGAACGCTGGAGGATGGGCATACTTTAGTAGATATGAAGTAAGATAATATATTTTATGGTGGAAACACAGGTGAGAAATCATGGAAGTGGTTGTTTGGGATAGTGCTATATTTGAAATTAACGGGGTATGAAGGAGGTTGAATGTTGTGGTATGGCTTTCCCTATACTTGGAGGTGTACATGACTTCATATTCAAGATTGCAGTCTCAGGAATAGCAGTGTTCCTTGGAATTGTGTTAGGCCTCAGCAGAGGGATATTAAGTGGCCAGCTGCAGTCACCCTCTGATTTTTTTGCTGCTGCTTCTGGCAGTAGCTTGGAGTACTGGTCTCTGTTTGTCTTCTCTTTAAAAACAAACAAACAAACAAACACCACCCCACAAATCATGTAATTGACCATAGTAAATAGTAGTATCTTCTAACTCGTAGATAATGAGCATCATCTCATCTTAGACAGTGTGCATCCTTCAGTGCTCTTTGTATTCTTGTGCTGAGATGGCTGCTGCTGTTCTTTGGCATCAGACCCACTCTCATAAATTTCTCTGATTTCACAAGTTCAAGTGCCAAGTCTGGGGTAATACTGTTACAAGTACCATTAAGCTAATTCAGCTGAAGTAAAGCTCGTTGTCACTTTACGGATGGAGCTGAGGTTACCAGCTACCTGGAGTCTACTCACTGACTGTTGCCAGGGCTATGAGGAAAGAGGGAAGTTGCTTTTCCTGCAATGAGTGTAGCTCTTTGAGGTGTCATTGTAGGTTCCGTGCCCTCCTCTGATGTTTTTCCAAAGCCAAAAGTATGTCAATTCTCAGTTCTTGCACAGTTTCAGGGTGGCAATTAATTCCTCTACTCCCTGTTTGAGAGCAGAAGGCACAGAAAGTGGGCTTAATTCCAGGGAATGCCCAAGTCCCTTATCCCCATGTACAAATATGTACCATTCATTCCTCTTCAGAGGAACTGCATCCAAAAGAGTGTATCTTCAAGAAGCATAACTATAACGTGAGTAACCATTCTGTTGAGGATTTAACTGTTCCAGTTCTCTTAAGGACAGAGTTAACTCCCTGGGTTAACAGGTCTATTTTGTAAATGCAGTTGACTTTAAAAATAAGTAATAAAAATTAACCAGTTAAAGTTGACTGCTGTGATTTAGAATTAATCATACTTACATGTTTTATATATATCATTCAGAGAGTTTAAATATTACCAAACGTGCTAAAATTATAAGTTACGTCTGTGATGTGTCCAGTCAGTTTTCTGATTTTAAAAAACATCTCTCCCTAAAACCAAAAGTCAGAATACAAGCTCTCCCTTTTATAATTACGTTGAAAGAAAAGCCTTAATTCAAATACTAAAACTCTAACACTTGAAGATCTTTTTTTGTAGGATTCACAATGCACTTAAGGGAATCCCGGATGACAGGGATGGACTATTTGACACCATTCAGCGGTCTAAGAATCATTATCAGAAAAGAGCTTATCAGTGTATAAAGTGCATGGTAGCTCTCTTCAGCAACTGTCCTGTAGCCTACCAGATCCTTCAGGTGATACTTTTTATTTCTGTTTCTCGATGCTTTTTTCCAGTTCTTTGTATTAAAAAAAACCCCAAACCCTCAAACAAACAAACAAACCCCCCACAAACTAAAACCACCATTATTCAGTTTTCATCGCCTTGATGGAATTACAACTTAACAATGACAACTCATTTGCACCTTCCTATATCAGAAGGTCAATAGATGGGATTGAGAGTAATTTTGTTAAAGTTGCACTCATGATTCTGTGATGCAGCTGCAAATCCACAGACTTCATTTCAAATCTGAAACTTCTTTATGCAAAAAACAGGATATTTCAGGGAGTCTTTTAAACAGCAGCCTATGTGTGGTGGTCTGTTCTCTCATAGCTGATGTGTAGGAAGGGAAAAATATTTCTGCTTTGAAGAATAGAGAAAATAATTCTGAATTGTTAATTTTCCATCTGCAGAGCAATGGAGATTTGAAGAGAAAATGGACCTGGGCAGTAGAATGGCTTGGAGACGAGCTTGAGCGTAGACCATACACTGGCAATCCCCAATACACCTATAATAATTGGTCTCCACCAATACAAAGCAATGAAACATCAAATGGCTACTTCCTAGAGAGATCGCACAGTGCTAGAATGACTCTTGCAAAAGCTTGTGAACTCTGCCCAGAGGAGGTAAAGAATTAATTTGACTCCTGTTAAAAAATCTGAGTGAAGTGCTTCTATAAATAAAATAAAATAAAGTTAACCTTAGCAACAGTCTCTGGTCATTATAGTGGTAACACATTTTATAAGTATTTTATAAATAGAGATTTCTATTTTTGTTGGCTCCTGTGCATTTTCCACTCCTATTACTAGTTCTATAGACATGTGTCACTTAAAGAGTTAGCAGTATAGAATTGAAATAGACCATCTAAAGGAGATTATGAATAGGTCTGTTTTTTCCAATAATACATTGAGAGCGGGAATTTTTATGTAGTACAATACAAGCTATGGATGGCACATATGGATGACAGTGGGGTGGAATTTTTCTCCAAACATGTGTGAAACTTTCACTTGCATGTGGGACTGGTTGCAGATAGACTAATTGTAATACGTTTTACCTGAGTAAATTAGATATTTTTTCAAACTTTAGGAACCAGATGATCCTGATGCCCCAGATGAACATGAGTCTTCTCCACCTGAAGATGCTCCACTGTATCCCCATTCACCTGGTTCCCAGTATCAACAGGTAAAAACTCAGAGTTGAACCATTTATTCAGAGTTCCAGGTTAGCTTTTATAAGCATTTATGGCAACTTAAAGTTTAGGTATTTAGCCAGAAACATGTTGTTATCAAATATCACAGTTGGAGGAATAAAGATATATCTCTATTTTGCCAGGAACAGTTTCACCATCAGAGTTTCAGGTGAGAATTTTAATGTTACCGGATGAGGGCATCCGTAGAAAGAGCAGAGGGACAGATGTCATCACAGTCTAGTGCGATACTGAATTTGATTCTGTCACATTTTTTGACATTGGTAGTATTTTATGAGTTGCTTTCTTGTTTTTAAATACAAAATCAAATCTTAAGGCCTGAATTTCAGTTTGGGTAATTGGAAGGCATTCAGAAAAATGCAGGTGGCTTTGTTACATATAACTTGTGCTATGAACACTGATCTGTAAATCATAAGCACATATAAAATCTAAATCTGTTTTGATGTTAAATGGCTGCTTTGTTGATATCTTTCAGTGGAAAGCCAGATCTGAAAGAAATCATAACCAGTATTTTTACTGAATTGACTAAATTAGTAGATCCCCCACTTAGTTGCCATTTTTTGTTCCAGTTCATTTTATATATTCCAAATCTGCTAATTTAATTTCCTTTCCTGCCCAAACCCATTTTCCCTCCATCTTGCTTTCCTTACTTGATGTTCTCAGCAGAGCAGTTGGTAAGTCATGCAGATTTTCCCACTCCTTTCTGAGCTCCTGAATTCAGACACATACTGTAACCTCACCATTACCTGTGTGATGTGTTCACTTTCTTGCAAGAGTTGGCATTTCTCACTAACACACACAGTCCTCGTATTCCTAGTTTCTCCACAGTTGGTTAAACTCTGCGAAACAGTAGATAAATGAGATGCTTTCATTTGCTGGATGGGTGTGTGACTCTTTGAAATGGGGCAGAGCATCTGCAGAAAACTACTGGTCTAGATTTCATTCAGTTCTGTAACATGAAAGGTTTCCCTCTTAAAGTATGCTGCATAAATACAGGTATGCTTTTTCCATTGTCTTAGGGAAAAAAAAATCAAGCTGGTTGAATCTGCTGATAAAATATGCACACAGTTTAATGTCCGCAGCACATAGGCAGCCTCCTTTAGTCTCCTTTTTGTTTTTTCTTTCTTGCTGCTTTTGCTTTGCATGTAACTGTTTGCTATTCTAAAGCTGGGATTACTAATTCAACTAATCCTTTTATCTTTACAAGTTGAAAGTTTGTTTACCTTCTGTGTAAATGAAAAAGGTAAGTGAAAGATGTGATTCAGAGGAATGAAGAAACTGTGATGTCTGTTCATAATAGATATTACTACACGAGAAGTTCAGTGTGCTCAAGGATACTTTTCAATAGTCAGAATGTAAAAGAGGAAAAGCAAGTAACTAGTCAGGAAACTAAGCCCACAAGTTTAATGTCCCTTTAAAATGTTTATGCTTTATTACAGAATAACCATGTGCATGGACAGCCATATACAGGCCCGGCAGCACATCATATGAACAACCCTCAGCGAACTGGCCAACGAGCACAAGAAAATTATGAAGGCAGTGAAGAAGTTTCCCCACCTCAGACAAAAGATTAGTGAAATGCACATAATCAATTAACTTGCTCCATCAAGACTGTGCACCCAGGCCTTACAGTCCAACCTTTCTCTGTGTCTGGCTAATATTTAAAACTAGAAAAACTATTCCTAATCAACATGGAGTGGAGAGTCTATTCACTGTCTTATCTGCAGAAAATTGCTGTCAATATATAACCCGCCTGCAGTGGAAAGTGTATAGTGTTTTGTAATAAATGGCCTGATGCTAATGTGTAAATGGCAAAGGTGTATATAGTATATTAATGTTTGACTGTTAATTCTTGAGCAAGAAACATTTTTTTTGTCTTGATGAGACTCACAGATCTACAAAAACAAAAAAAATAATTTCTTGATATATCTGCTGCGCGCTGCAACCAGTGTTGCCTGCCTCATGGCAGTCGGATCAACTCCTTTACGAAAAAGCCTATCCATGTCAACCACAAAAATAGTTTCATGTTAATTCTTTGCCACTGGAGTCGATTTTACTATGAGCAACGTAATGGCTGGTAACCTTTTAATTATTTGGTTGATGTGGAAAATTGGTGATGTAACATTGTTTCTAGATCTTTTTTCATTGCCTTTTTCATTCTGGTATTAGGTTAATCACTTTGAAGCTATAGTTATGCTGTAACATTTAGCATGGCTTCACACCAAGTTAGTGTAGCCAACGAGGGGGAGAAAAAACCGTGACAGCAGTTGTCCCAATGTGACAACTGTATTGCTCAGAACTTTTTCTTCTTACACCTAGACTATAAAATGGGGAGGGAAAATGTGACAAACAAGTGGTTTTCAGTTTCACATATGTTCCTCACATCTGATGTTTGACAGTTCTGTCTCTGGGTGGGATAAAGAACACTTAGTTTTCAGTAATAGGAATTTAAAAGATTTAAAACAAATATGCAAAAATTTGCTATGCCAGGATGCCTGGAGCATAATAGACTGTATTTGGTGTGCTTGTTTTGTTTCTTTGGTAGAGCTTATTAGATAAACTTCTAACACTTTCCTTCTACTGCATCCCAGTGAAGTGGAAGTCAACAAAATCACAGAGTACTTGTGAGTGCCACTGCACCAAGTTAACTTGCTGGTTTTCTGCTCGTTCACAGTTCTACTTGAAAGCGAGAATTGTCTTAGCTCTTTATCCATTATACAGGAAATCTTAACATTAGAAGCAGGGTTTAATTATAAAAGAAACTACTGGTTAGTCAAATACAATTCTGAGGTATCTCTATTCCAGAATAAACATTTGTTTAAAGACTTAAAGAAACGCATCAGTAAATACTGTATTTAAATGAAAATTGGTAACTTGAATGTGTGTAATTTTTTTGGAACCTGTCTAAAAACCAAATACCCCTGCAAAACAGATACAGCCCACCCTATACTATTTAAATATTTTGCTGTTTTATTTTATAGAAATTATTTTGCTGAATTCACAAATAGAATTTGATTTAAGAAGAATGTTTTGTCCTGTGGTGTGTGGTGTTTTTTGTTTTTGTTTTTGTTTTTTTTTAATGGACTGCACAGAAAGGTGAATTCTGTGCAGTGGCACTATGCTGAATTCTGAAACAACAATCACATTGAGATTCTGTGCACAAAAAAATTTGGCCCTTAAGAATAAAATAATCAGGACAATTACACTGTAAAAGTTTCTTAATGTGATTTATCTTGTACTTTTTGTATGTTTTTATATATACATATATATATTTAATGAGCACAAGCTTGATGGTGTTTTTTACAAATGAGTTGATAGAAACAAAGCTGCTTATCAAATTAAAGGTCTGTAGTTTTGAAATGAACAAAGGAAAATTCAGTCGCAAGTGCATTTTTATGCATTTAGTATAATAAGGAAGGGACACAGAAAATTTTTGAATATGCCGTGTAGCGATGATCACTTTTATGCTTCCATGTTTTCCCTAGTGCTCAAGTTTAATTCAGATTTTTTTCATAGTTTTTTAATAATACCATTTTACCTGGACTTAGTAAATTTGGGTAGAGTGTTCCCCTTTATGTTTGGGAATTCTTGTTGGTTTTAACACAAAAATTCTACCCCGAGTCCTCAAGCTGAAATAGTTCATATCTGTTTGGACCACTAATTGTTAAACAAGCTATCTCAGAGGCGATTATTACGTATTTTTTACTGTATAGGTAAAATATATAATGTCCTAGTTCAGCCTTGCCAAATGTGTTTGCTTTTATAGTGCAATGATTGTAGAGACGTGTCAAACCTGTGACACTTTCAGCCTGTGACTCTCTTCAGTCAGAGACACCCCTGTCCCTGAACTGAGAATGACTGTGGTGGCAGTTGTTTTTCAGGCAGCAGATTCGGAATATTGTGCACCCGTGTGACTCTGAAGAAGGATAGCCTGTATCGTTTGGTGCAGCTGCTGCTTTTAAATGGATAGCTACAGTAAAAGGTGCAATGTTTTCTTTGCTCTGGGCAAAACAATTGTGAATTGTACTTAACAAATACTGTACAAGCAAAAAGTTTCATATGCATGTTACTGTCACAGCATTTTGGCAGTGGTCATTTTCAGGCGATACACAGTACCTCATTGTTGATGGCACACTTTAAAATAGTAGTCCTCAAAGTGCCTAAAGATCTAATTCCCCCATCATGAATTTTAATCCTTCTGTTTCGAACAGTTGCTAGGGAATCTCTGGTCTTCCGTAAAATGAGCCAATAAATAGTGGAACTATTGCTCATGTTCCTGAAAATGTAACATGACATACATAGAAACTGAAAATTCATAGGTGATGTTATATGGTGGTTAATGTGTAGCTTGACCTAGGGGGAAATCCATCACCTTACTACGCAGAATTTCTCCCTCTCGTACATTTGGATTGTGGTTGTTTAGTGACTAAAATAAGCTTTTAACACTTGCTACTGTTAGTGTTAAAAAAAAATCATTACAGCCATATATAAAAAGAATTCAGTTCCTACTTGTGTAGCAGTAAATGTACTACGTTTTGGTCACAAAGTTGGTCACCTGCACCTGTGTTATCCCACTGACAACGAGATTGCACAGGGTTCAGTCAAAGCTTATTTCCCATGCAGAACCTGATTTTGTGGGGATGCACAAGCGGAAAAGGACTCTGCTTGACTTGGAATTTTTCAGATTATTTTCCCTGCTAACTACCAGCTCTGAAAATTTACATTCTCTATTTTTAAAGCTAGTGTATTTTGCTAAAATTGAGCCAGAAAGAAATTAAATTCCACAATGACATTTCATACTATTTTTTTCAGAGTGAAACTTTACTTTAGATGACATGAGAAAATTGTGCTATGGTAATTGCTGTTATGCCTTCTCAGCCACGTTGTTGTGCCTAGCTTGTGTGTTTTAGCATATATATCATGAAGAAGCACTTACGGTTCCAAAACTTTATATTTTCTAAGTTCCAGGAGAGAATGAGATCAGCCGTTCTGCCAAAGCTAGAATGGGCAAAAATTGGCTGCTGTAGCAGTTTCTTTCATTTTTTTATTTCAATAAATTGTGTCTACCTCTGAGTCTTTTGCCAGAAGTTAATAGGCTGATAAACTATATCAAGGCAAAGTGGCTCAATGCTTTTGTTGGCATGTGTTTCAGTTACTAGGCTTTCAGTGAGGCTTTCAATGCAATGACGTTAACTGCAGATGAAAGTTAAAGACTAACTATATAAATTAGAGGAAGAAGTGGCATGTTGGGAAACTTGCAGAGTAACCAACTAAGTGTTTAAATATGTTAGTTAAACCTTGTTAGTCCACATTTGCAAATCCACATGGAAAGCAAATTCACCCCTATGGTGAAAGACGTATACTTTAATTTTTGGGAGAGTGAGATGCTGATGCTGACCTCGCCTTTCTTGTGGGGGAGTTTCCCGTTTGTGGCCCTGCTCCAGCGATGTGTGTGTAATCGGGACAACAGTAATTCTGGCTCCCCGTCTTCTTACCTCCTGTGCTCTCCATCGTGTTTGCGTTGCCGCATTTCTCACAGCCATGAGGGCTTGGGAGTCAAAGTCTAAACCTGCCTTCCCTCTGGAGCAAGACGAGACTTTCTGGGGGAGAGGTAGGAACTGTCTCATAAATACTGCATGCTGCACAGTGGTACTGCAATAAGCAGAAAGCAAGGTGAGAGAAACCCATCTGCATCCTTCTGCATGATTCCTCTTCTTCTTGCAAGTGGTCTCATGAGGAAGACGACAGCGAACAGCTCTTCAAAGCTCAGTACATTTTCTTTCTGGCTTGCAGGTAGAATCAGTCTACACTATTGCAGTAAAGATCGCTGTGCAGCAGCAGCACAAGCAACATGCCCTATGTATGCCCTCCATACTGTTCTGGGGTGTCCGTTATACCTTCCTTCTATTGGTCTTTGAGGATTGTCTGGTTAATACATTCATTTACACTGAGACTTGCCCTCCGTTACAGACTAGACAGCTCCACTGCACTAGGAGGGCTTTAACCCAATCTGAGCACTGTCACTTTTTACACTGTGTAACTTCTTAAGGTTCCTACTATAAATGTTCTTTTATTCCTAAGGCATAAAATTTTCTCTTGGACTGTTTTAAAATGTCACATAGGCATTCTTTTGTCCCTTTTTACAAGAGCAAGCATTGAGTCCTGCCCCTGGAGTGTCTATTACAGTAGGCTGTTCACAGAAGTGTGTTGACGTAGATTCCAGCACTTAAATTCAAGAGATCCTCATCCTGTAATCTGATTTTCCAATGCAAGCCATGCTGGATCCATGGATTTCAACAGCATTTGTAGGAGTCCTGTTGATTTCGGTGCCATAGGAGTTGAAGTTGGTGTGATGTGTTTTGCAGGGATCGAGCCAGATAAGTCAGTGGGTGGCACAAGACAGCTCTCTTACTTGCTTTGTTTATGCTTATTTGCAGACAATGAAATGAAAACAAGCACGAGAGAACCCGTTTCTGAAGGAGAAAAATGCTCTCCTCAATAAGGGCTAACTTTTAATCGGATTGTAGATACCCAACTCTGTTTTTTAGCTTTAGAATTCCTTAAAGCCACTTTTTGATAATAAAACTGACCTACAGGGTGTTTCCTTGGAAGAATTTACTATAGCCTTAATTACATCAGCACAATTCTGAACTGGCAGTGTCATTCTTTAATGGTCAAAATAATGTGCGAATGTCTTTTAGTTTTTAACAATGAGCTAACCTTGAATAATGAAAATCGGAGAAAAAAGGAAAACAGGTTCTATGAATTTATCTAAAATCTAACCGTAGAAGAACACCCAGTGCAGGAAAATCAAGATCACTCCCTTCTTTTCTGTCTCTGTACTATTTAAAATGTCTGATAATGTTAATTTTTATTCTTAATTTACAACTGCTATTCCAGTCCAGTAACTTGGTTTATATTGTCCCAAGCAGTGTCAGCTGCATAGTTTGCAGCTTCCTGATGCATTTGCAGTTATGTCCCCTTTAGTCCTTACCAGAGCAAAATCTTTAAATGTTTGTTTTTTCCCATATAAGCCAGTTCCCAAATCCATACTGACATTTCCATTGTTGTGATGTGCTGTTTCTGTTTTCGTACAATGATCAGGATGACTGGACGAGTGCTTTCCACGTGTGTTTTCACCTGAGCTATTAAGCAAGCAGTTAGTGTTCCTTTTCTGTAGTGATACCTCTGTGGATGCAGCTTTTAAAGGTATCAGCCTTTTTTGTATCTTTATTTATTGAAATGCTGCTCAGTTCTTGTCCATTGCTCCTAAATTCCTGCCCATCATTTCTTACGATTCTTTCTTACCAAGTTTCTCACTCTGAATTGCCAGGATCATTTTCTATTTAATACTTTTGTATTTTCTTGGAATCTAATCCCTTCACTTGCCATGATGTTTTTTACCTCCTTTTCTACCTACACCTGCTGTTTTGCTGTTAGCTGCTACAAAAGAACCATGCTTGCTGGGCAGCCTGGCTCTCCAAACCGCAGCAGCCGCAGCCTTGACCAGGTGGGGCTTTTGTCACCTCTTAAATCTCAGAATTCATGCAGGATAGAAGCGCTTCACGCTACTGATGGCAGCCTTGAATTCAAATAGCTTGTAGCTTATTGGGGTTTGGGGTTGTTTTGCTTCATTTTCTATCTTGAACAGTTTCTAAAGGTGAAGAAAAATGGTAGGTCTCACTGGAATCTACTTCAGAAAAGAAGGCTGATTGAAAACTTGGACACTTCTTAATATACTTGATTGTATTTAAATACTTGGTAGGTGCTTTAGAGTCCTTAGGAAGTCTTCTAGAAGCAATTTCAAAAGCTTAGAAACACGAAGACTAGGTCTTCAAGATTTAATGACACTCGCAAATTCTATCTGCCTGTCCTGCTGCGTGGTTAAGAACAGGTGAAGCAGCAGAAATGGGAATACTTCACTGAAGGGAGAGAGGTCATGCTGTGTGAAATCCCTCGGGAACTGGAAATGCTGGGCCTGCTTTGCCCGGGCTCACGTGCAGCACTGGTAGCAGCGGAGCGTGAG